CATTTGCATTTGTATTGTATTATTTCCGAATTGTTTTTTTCTTTGGGAACTTTTGTTGAACTGTATTCTTGAAGGCTTAAGCATTTCTGCTCTCAAAGGGGTATTTCCCTGCTGATATATAACCCCCTGTAATTTTAATAAACTTCTTCCACTTAACTTGTCTAATTCTGTCCTGCTGAAATTTAGGAACAACCTTGTTTCTCATTTGTACCTTCTCACATACCAACCACACTGCCGATATTTTCACACTTTCTTCCAGCTACATTTCCAGTTCTCACCAATTTGTTCTTGTTTAGTGATGGTGAACAGATTCTGTTTTGAGCCCTGAGTATTTTGGCAATGTTTGTAAGCAGTAGTTATAGGTATGTGCTACCTGAGGAAACATCCCAGTAACTATCTAGCACAAAAGGGAAGGTTTCACGATGCCCATGCTGCAGTTTACTCACTAATAGTTACACTGCCCTAAGTTCAACTGACTGCTGGAGACACCTGCTGCCTGAGCTAGGAGGGATACCCAAATTCTGACGTCAGGGCACGGGAATGCTTGAACTCATCCTGCATTTTTGGTTAAAGCACTTGCTATCAGTGCACTTGCAGGGCAGTTTAGATCTAGGTCTCGGTTTCTGATTGTCACCAAATACTGTGATGCTGACCATTCTGTATGTAAGGAAGCCTGTTTCTCCAGGAGCAGCCTGTAAGGTCCATCTGCCTACACGTTAGTCTGTTTGAAGGCCAGCAGCTCTGAGCTGGCCCTTTTCAGTGTAGCTACTTGTGCTCATTTGTCTGCTCTTCCAATACCAAAACATTGACATCTTGAATGTTCAGACATGCTGTGTCTTTCTTGTCCTTGATGACGTTAACCACTGTCATCCCTGACACAGGGGTAACCGAGATGGGCTCAGCCGGGCTTCGGGCAGCCGCCAGAGCAGCACAGAGAGTGATATGAAATCCTTGGAGCCCCGGCCATGGAGCAGCACAGACTCTGATGGCTCGACCCGCAATCTGCGGCCTCCGGTCACCAAAGCCAGCAGCTTCAGTGGCATTTCCATCTTGACACGAGGAGATAGCATTGGTGGCATTGGCAAAGGGAATGGCGCCAGCAGGACTGTCAGGCCAGGTATCTCTATGTTCTTTATTTGCTTTTCTTCAAGTAAAATAAGAGATTCTAAGTTTATGATGAATTTGTCTTGGGGTAATCCTCTCTCTCTTCCAATGGGTCCCAGCCCACATCTTATGGCATTGACATTGCTTAACACTATAGAAATCAAAAGCCTTGAAGAGGAAGCAGCTAGAAATCACCCTGAAACATTTGCACTGGATAGTAGTAATGTTAGCTGCGAGAAATAGAGTCAGCAACAGGGGACAAGCTGGTATCAAGGCTTCTGTCCCATTCCAGAGATGATCAAAATGTTTGGCCTCATTGACAAAATATCTTCTGTTTTGTTTTGTTTTTAACCCAATCAGAACCACTTTAAACATGATGAAATTTCATTTCTGAGCTCTGCGTATTGGGTTTCACGAAGCCTCTTTTTAGCTGTTGTGCCTGCTTAAAATAATGTTCACATCTAAAAGCAACCCACCGTGATAATGCTTAGTCTTCCTTTTTCCCCTTGAGCTGTTCATATGTGTCACACTCATCTGGTAGAGGCTTCAGTGTTGATGGCTGCTGACTCCACAAAGTCCTGTTACACGATAACCATCTATGAGAATGATGTCCAAAAATAAGTCTTGTCTAGTTCTCTCGGATAAAGAATTCAGCATTCAAAATTCTGTAATTTCGTTCTGAGATTTCTACCTGTTTTAATTAGTGTGCAATTCAGTAAAAACTAAGTCGTTCCCATCTAGAAACAGGTCATAAGAAAATTGCTGAGCTTCCATATATGCAACCCAGAATGATGGTGGTTCTTAAAAAATTGTTGAAAAGATGAGTTTTTGATCTGTTATGCCATGTCAGACTGTAAACAAGGCTAGAAAATGTGATTTTACCTACCCAGCATGTCAGTAATAGAGATGTTCAGCCTGTAGTCTGAAACATCAACAAGGCATCAGGTTGGGAAATGTTGGTACCATTAAATACACTTCTGAGAAGCAGTGCATGGAGAAGTTCCTTCAGTGTTATTTAACACTATCATCAGCTATTAAAGTTGATACTTTGGTATTCATATGGATAAGTAGAATAAATACATTCTATTGATACATCTTGTTATAAACAAGCATATTGTTATCTCTTTGCCCAGTCATATCAAGATGAAAGGAAATGCACTTCCAAGATCCTCTTCCATCACTCTGCAGCATTATATAGCATATGTTGTGTATAAGGGTGGATGATGCATTTACAGATGTACTAATTCATCTTCTTGAGCTCAGAAATAGGGATGTGTCAATATAGGGGGTGGTACAGAATAACATCATGTCTCCTCTCTTACTGTTGCTTTCTACAGCACTAGAGATGACTCATATTTAACCATCCATCTACACAACCTGTTTACTTCAAGGGCAGGCACTGAAATGCCTTTGTTTATTTCTTCTGCCTTGCTTTCCTTTAGCGCACTTGTTTATGAACATGATCTCCTGCCTTCGTAGTCAGCATGGTGTTGGAGAAAAATCCTGTCATCCATCTGGTTGCTCAAATGCATGAAAAGTTGGTCTTTGCATCAAAGAATGTTGACATTCTAGTTTTGTCTTTGTGTGTGTCAAGCTACTTGACACACATTTTTAACCTATGTGCATAGCTTTTAAGTCGGAGAAGAAAGCATCCAGGCAGGCATCCAATAATCAGGGTGGCTTCACAACTAAAGCACTGAGAATAGGCTGTGTTGCTGAGTAATTTAGTTATGTCTATTCTCAAAATTTTTATTTTATCTCATTTGTACAAAAACTGTAATAAAAATGCACAATAAACGCTGCTCCTTTTTATGTTGGTCCTTTAGTTTTATCTCCACTATTTTATCTCATTTGTACAAAAACTGTAATAAAAATGCACAATAAACGCTGCTCCTTTTTATGTTGGTCCTTTAGTTTTATCTCCACTATTTTATCTCATTTGTACAAAAACTGTAATAAAAATGCACAATAAACGCTGCTCCTTTTTATGTTGGTCCTTTAGTTTTATCTCCACTGGTTACTTTTAATTGCTCAACCATCATTATCCCACAAATAACTAAGTTTTGTCCCTTTCCTCCTTCCATTATTCTCTGTCATATTATTCCCACGTGAAGAGAGTGGTGGAGGAGTGCTGCATGGCAATTGGTACATATATATATTATGTAATGAAAAGAAGAACACTGAGAACTTGTGTGGGATTGTGACCAAAAGCATGAGTTGTAGCATAGGAAGTCTCAAATATAAATTCATGGGGTGGCTTTAAGCAAGTAGTTATTTCTGCCCTCACAAAAAGTACTATTTTGTAAAGTATTATCAAAGAGATGTATAATTAAATGTATTGATTGTGCGGTATTTTGATTACACAGCTTGGATTTCCCCTTCATGCTGGACTTATTTTGGAGTAGTAGCACAATAGACACAGACCTGTGTGGTACAGAATACAATTTGGATGGTGCTGCCTACTCCCTTACGTAGGAGTTTGAGTGCATAATTAGTGGCAGAAAGGAAATTTCTATGTCTGGGTTGACATTTCAGACCCAACTGGGTGTCAGTAGGTTGAAATTCTAGTCCTGTTCCTGATTATGTTCCCCTTTCTTCAAGCCTGTTTATTGCCACCATTTCCCTTATTGGCTGTCACTACTTTAGAACCTCCTCCCTGCTACCAGTTTGAGTTAGGATTCTTTCTTCTGTCACATCAGGAACCTCCCAACTAGCAATCTTTAGATGTTTTGGGGTACAGTTCCTATCGGTCAGTAGGATGTAGATAAAATACATTTGGAGGAGATAAAATACATTTCATTTGTTAGCTTCCTGAATTGATATCGGAGATCATGTTACTCCCAGCCACAGAACTGGAAAGAACCATTTATGTTATTGTCCAACTATCATTGCTCAGTGCAGAAATGGTTGATTATTCAGATTCTTGATTTTGAATATGCAAATATCTCAAAAACGCTTCCTCCTTTTACAGCAACAAACCCTGAAAAACCCACAAAAGAGGAATTGTGTAGATACTTGTACAAATATTTATGACGTATCTACAAGCAAATACATGATTTCCTTAAGCCAACATTTAAGGCTTGGTTCTCTTTCTATCCTTGAAGCATAACTATTTTAACCAAAGACTGTGTCAAGTGAATCCATCGTATCCTTTTGAAGAAGAGTAGATGGTGGGTTTGGTTGAATTTTTTTGCAACAGAAGTCTACTTCATTATAATTTTCTTTTTGCATAGCAATCATTCGTTAAGATCCACTTATTTTGGGCAAGTACAGGGGCTGGTAGTTTGACATTTTCATTTCATCATTTATGTAGAATTTCCTCTACAGAATAGGAAGAGGCTAACAGGTAACCAAAGTCCAAATACTAGCAATATAGGTAAAATATGAAGCAAAATGTCAGGTTACTTTGCCATTTACCATTTATTTTATTTTAACACTGTGTTGTTTGTTGTTTTTTTCAACACAATTGCATATGCCATATACGAGAAGAATAGGGACCAGTTAGGGTGGAAAAAAGTAATTTATTGGTAAGAACATGCTGTATTGTTTCATAATAGGTAGCAACAGCATCATTCTGTGTCTTTTGGTGGTAAACCTGAACGGTAAGTCAATATTACTTATAACAGTTGTGGAAAGGCTAAAATAGCTTCATACACAGTTGTCTTAGAATATTTATTGTATGTGCAGTTAAATCACAATGCACAAATATCGTAAGGATATATGCCACCAAAAAAAAACAACTTCCGGTTGTCTATAGGTCTCAAACATCTAGGAAAAACTTATATTCTCTATCACATGTGAATCAGCTCTTTAATTATGCAGTGATTTTCTGGGACAAAACAAAGAAGTGGAGTCATGTTTGGGTCCTAGACCAGATGGCTGGAATCAGCTTTTTCTGACTTACTTAAGAAAACAGCTTGTGTAGATGAATTCCTAATGTGGGTACCCTTCAGTGCTATAACAGAGCAGAGCAGTCATTATCCAAAGGAAGGTCCAAAGTACAGTGGCTTGAGACCTAGGTGGTGTTGGATGTTGGCTCTTTACATGAACAAAAAGTAAATGGATGTAAAATATTTCCTGAATCCTTTGCATCCATCAGGGGAAGTGGCAATGATAATTCTGTCCCTTGCAAGAATATTTGTGGGAGTAAAAGCCAGTTAATGCCTACTGGTGCTCAAATGCCACTGTAATTATGATCATACCATTAAAGTCAGAAAGAGAGCTTTGAAAGTCTCCCTGTACAGGGAAAATAAAGAGTTGTGGGGGAAGGGGTTGTCTGGAATATTGAGCTTGAAATAAAGAAGACACATCTTAGAATTAACCCAGAAGTAGGGATACAGAACAGGGTGATCAAGTAATCAGGTCATCTGTTTGTTTTTTTCCTCCCCAAGGCTAATATTTGATTTGCTTGTATAAGATTTGGAATCCTACTTTCTCCTTAAGGCCTATTGTGCAGATTTGGGCTATCTCACTACTCTGTCAAGGATAGTTATTAATCACATTTGGGATGGCACCATCTCTTGGCTGCAGGCAGAATCAAAGTTTTGGGAGACTAATTCTCCCCAACTTTTAAACTGAAAACTTACCTGGCCACTGGATAGTAGTGCTTTGTAGATATATATAGTGGGTCACATCAGAGAACAAATGTTATTTTCTCCCCTTTGTTCTGATCAAGCTAAGCACTTCTTACCCGTGTAGATGGTGGATGAAAGATCTTGAGTTATACCAAACTTATTTTGTTTCATTAGAAATTTAAAAACAGCAACAATGGTAACATTGTTTTGTTAAATTGAAGATACTAATATTTCTGATTTGAAGAAATAAACTACAAAGCACCTTTCTATTTCCTAGTAGAGCATCTGTGTATTGAAACTTCAGATTTTGCATATGATTTGCAGAAGCTATCAAGATTTTAGCACAGTAGGTTAAACTAGGTTACATATATAGGTAGTCCTCAAGTTATGACCATTTGTTCAGTGACCATTCGAAGTTACAACAGCACTGAACAAATGGTACTTATACCTGGTCCCTGAAGTTACGGCTGTTGCAGCACCCCCATGGTCACATGATCAAAATTCGGGTGCTTGGCAACCTACCCAAACTTAGGACCGCAGGGGCACTTCAACTCCCCCCACCCACCTATCTCCTCCCCCATCTCTGCCCTTGGTGCCCAGCCTGGCCCTTCACAAGACCTTCTTCCCAAGGTTGCACATGGTGGTTTCCTTGCAAGACCTGGGGAAGAAGGCCTCATGTGGCAAGCAGCTGCCTCGCAAAGGGCCAGGTTTGGCATGCCTCAATGGGAGCAAGAAGACAGCAAAAGTCAGCTGGGGTAGTAGAGTGCAAGGCGGCAGGGGCCATGGAGTGCAGGGTGGCAAGGCCAGCTGCAGCTGGGGCTTCGCACCACGTGGCTTGGCTGGGACAGCTGGGACTTCCTGGGGCAGCTGGAGCTTCATGCTGCACTGCGGTCAGGGGCTTCTTGCAGACCCAGAGCCATGGCATGCCAAGAAACCCCCTCACAGAACAGCCAAAAAGGGAGAGAGGGGCGGGGGAGAATAGGCAGTGGGGGGAGTTGAAGGGGAGGCAGTCTGTTACCTTGGAAGAACCAAGGCTCAGGGCCAAGCTGGGAATGGCTTGGATCAGGGTGGGTCCTCAGCTAATGACTGGTGGGATTTGGTTAACAAAGGCAACAGGGAGTGCCAGGATTGCCGTCGCTAAATGATGCGGTCATGTGACATTTTGCTTTACAACCACATCACTTAGCAACAGAAATTCTGGTCCCAGCTGCCATCGTAACTCAAGAACTACCTATAATAAAAAGTAAATGATGTATAATATAGCGGGAGACAGTCTGAATCCGTTTCAGTAGTGTGAATCCATTGTGAGTCAATGCATTTGATATATAGGAACATCACTGAGGATAAAAATAATTTTCATACGTATAATCAAATCAGATCTTTATTACGGTCAAAGACCAGCATAAATACATATATAGAAATATATGCTGGTGCATATTTTACTTTATAGCCTCCTTTTTCTCCAGTGGCTTAATGCTACATGTGTCCACTTTTTATATTTTGTGTAAAAAAAAAAAAAAAAGTGAAAAATGCATCTTGATTGTGTGCCATGGAGATTTTTTCTTAAAAACACCTATGCCACTTGGGGTAAATGTATAACACAGCTAATGTGTTTAATGTGTTTTTAAAAGCATATGGAGACAGAGTTCAACAGCAGATGAAGCTGATCGCAAACTCCGAACTGTGCGAATATATGAAAATAATTACGGCTAGCATCAGATAAAACGTCAGCTCTGCACTCAGTACAAAAATATTTCTAATTTTACCAGATTCTCTGACTGGAATGTATTGTATACATTGGAATGGCTTGCCCAAATGTTGCTTTTCATCCTCTGTGCTAAATTTATTTGGAAGCCATTTCTTCCTAATTGGAAGTCTCTACTTTTGGAGTAGAGATATTTATTGTTACTAAGAAAGAAGTTTTTAGATGCAGTAGTAGAGGAGTGATTGACTGCATGTGTGAGAGACAGAAGCTCCAAAAAACAAACTCATTCAAAGATTTCTGAGGAAGTTGGAAATGCAGTCCTCACTCAGCTTTGCTTTGTTGTATTGCTATATTGTGAAATATGATTTGCTGGATGGATGGGATCCATGGTAGTCTTCGATGTGAAATAGGAGTATACAGGATGTTATTGTTAATCATTTCAAGCTTAAAACATTCTGTCCTTGGAACATCCCATTCTACCCTCACTATTTCAAGTTTGTAGTAGTAAAATTTGTTATGGTCAATAGATCGAAAGATCAGAAGCGGTTCAGCTTTGCAACAGTCTACTTTATGATCAGATCATTTCTGGTACACCCAACAGAGGTGTTTCAGTGATGGACAATTTCAACCTCCAAATTCTTTGCACAATTTTATTTTTCTTATGAATTTGCTATGAAACTATTTTCTAGACTGTTCATAGGAGCTCACAAGAATGTACAGAGATCAGTAAAACAGTGAAATTATCACCAAGACTTCAGTGAAGCTTAGGCTCAGCATCAACCGATCGAATATCCCAGCTCAGACCTGGACTAGATGAATTAATAATAGGCAGGTTTAAGGAGAAATGGGTACGTTCAGACACATTTCTGCACACAATCCCGGTTTTGGAACCCTTAAAGTGTGTTTTCTAGGCACTGTTGAACCCTGGCACTTCTTCTTTCAGAAAGAAAGCAGAGCCTTTGCTCACACCTACCCACTTCATTTTGTTTTCTTATGAAGGTCTGTCTCTAAGTACGCCTGAAGCCTGCAGTCAAGTCTCCTCTGCTCAGCCTGGCCGAGGCCTCTTGCCATGTGCTGCTCAGCAACCGCAGCAGCAACCACTTCCACCCACACCGCAGCAACAGCCGGCAATGACTAATCACATCATATCGCAGGTGAGTCATTGTTCAATGTCACCTTTGTGTGGTGAGCTCTTCCTTGTGGCTCCTTACTAAGGAAGTAGTGGTCAGTAGGGCACTTGCAAATGCTTATATGACGCTTGAATAACATTTATGAGCTTGTGCACAAATTAGTCCTCCTAGACTCTCCACCTTCTACGTAGATTGTGCTATAAAATTGAGACATGCCTGGTTTCCTGCCATGTATATTTTGAGGTGACCCTCAAAAATTTTAGTAGGATTTTTTTTTAATAAGACTTGGTGCTCTAGAGCCAAAATACATTCTGCATTTACCTTCCTCCTTAAAAAGCGTTTTGTCTTTTTGCTATTACTCAAGTGGATCCTACACAACATGGGAAAATGCAGTGAAGAATGATGTCCTGAACTTGCTCCCTTGAGGAGGTTTTCAAGATGCATCAATAGAAATATGAAGAATTCTTTCGATTCTTTCGATTCTTTAATTCTTTAGATTCTTCATTAGGGATGTGCTGGGCTTAAGGTCTGAAGCGGAAAAGGTGCTTCTGAACAGGCAGAACAGGGGTACATGCTGCACCTGCCAGCACTTCCTTTCCTGGGCTTGCATTGTAGAAAATATGTGTCTGAGTTAAGGAGGCACTAGCAGCGTGCTCGTACTTGCTCCAAAGTCCTTTGTTGCACCCTGTTGGCACTTCTTGCATTTCTTGGTATCATGTAGCTACGTACATGCCCAAGAAAAGATGCAGCTTCTCTAAGGAGGTGCTGATAGGTGCATACGTATCTCCTCACCTTCAAGATAGATTTGTGTGCTCATGTCAAGATATATCAAGTTTAATCATGTAGCATGGATGAGTCCTGCCCTGATACCTTGCCTTGCTGAGTTTATTTTGTTGTGCAGAGGTCATGCTTGACCCATTATAGAATATGTATGGTTTGTAGGACCTAGGTGTATACTTAATAGCTTGGTCCAGGTGGTGGTGGTGGTGGTGGTGGTGGTGATGATGATGATGATGATGATTAAAATGTATATGCCACCCAACTCCCAGCAACTCTGGGTGGTTTACAAATTGTTAAAAACGTTTAAAAACAAAGTACAATACAAAAACACAAAACCAACACAAAACAAAAGAGCAGAGATGGCAAAGGAAACAAACCGGAATGGGAACAAGGGAAAAAAAGAAAGGGGCATCCTCACCAAAGGCCTGGGAGAAGAGCCACATCTTCAGGGCCCTTTGAAATGCCACTAGGGTAGGGGCCATCCGAACCTGTGAGGTGGGTTGGGCAGAGAGAGTGCCACTGGCCCAAAGTCACCCAGCTGGTTTCCATGCCTCAGGGAGGCCCAGAACTCAGAGTCTCCTGGTTTCTAGGCCAGAGCCTTTGCCAATACACTAAACTGGCTCTCTATTTAACTTACTACTATTACTATGGCTGCAGTCCTGTGCATACTTGAGAGTACTCTTCACAGTATAGATTGGAACCCATGAGCAGAGGAACAAAAGGGCTTTGTTATCTGGCTTTAGAAGCAGTACATGTCTTTTAAAGGGGAAAGGGATATAAGTATTCCTATCAGATTCAAGAAGCAATAATACATTTGGAAATTCTATTGTATATTAAGGCAAGCACAAAGTAAGCAAGTTTTCAAGAACTTTTTGTTAGGCAAGATAATTTTTTTAAACTTAGAAATGGGACAGGAAGAGAATATAAAGTATTGTATTAATGTGTTTTTACTCATAGCCAACATTGTTGCTTTTTTATCTTTAAACTTTATAATCTTACTGAAGAAATTGGACTGACTTCATCACAAGTACCAAATTAGTCAATCCTATTTATTAAAGACCTCCATTGCTCCATCCCAGCAAATAGCATGCCCTCAAAAAGCATATTTTGTATTTTTCTAATGTGTCTTAATGTCTGAAAAGGAAACTACACTTATGTTCTGGTTTCTAGTCCTCCATATTTCCAAGTAGAAGAAGAATCCAAGGCAGTATAATTTTTAAACTCATGGGAAGGGTTCAGCTTTCCCCAACTCAAGCAATTTCTGGATGTATTTGACTTCAAATCCCCCAGCCAGCATACTTGGTGCTGACAGTTTTGGAAATCGAAGTACATCCATCTGGAGGATGGCCAGGTTGGGGTAGGCCCTTCTGTTGACTTTCCTGACTGCTTTCCTGAGGATAGAGGGGCCATATGATATTTTCCTCAAAGCCGATAGAGACACCGAAGTAGCCTGCCAGATATTTACTCCATTTTATTCCCCTTATTTGACTGCATCCCTCTAGACCATCCAGTGATATTTATCCCCATTCGCTTTCTCACTCTGAGAAAAGCAGAACAAGCATTTTGAATAAATAAGCTTTCATTTATTCTGCATCGCTTTAAATGTATGTGTTCCAGCTTAGCGAGCTGTGTAGAATTGCAGATTATGTAACAATTCCCACATGGAAATAGGTAAATCGTTGCTCTGATTGGGGATGAAATTTCTCCCCCCCCCCTTACAAAGCTTAAAAATCCAGAAGATGGTCTAAGATCCATCTAGGAGGAGAAGCTTGCTTCCTGAACTCTGCAGTGATTCAGGGTCTGGTTGTCCATCTCATTCTTTTCTATGAAACTTGCTGGATGTTTGCACGCTTGCTTCTGCTGCGATGGATTGATTGAGATATACACACACACACACACACATCACATTTATATAGCCACCCATCTCATTAAGCAGCTCTGGGCGGATGGATGGATGGATGGATATGCTTCACATTATATGCCATAGATATATGCCTCACATTCTCAGGTTTCTCAGAGATGATTATCCAAGACTATGCAACTCCTCCTGCCCTTTTCCTTTGGCCAGACTTTTCCAGAGCACCGGTTTCTTGGTTTTCTTGCCCTAAAATAGATTGCAGGGGGAGTGGGGTGGAAACAGCTCAGTCACTGGTGGAGCTTTTAAATTGCTCGTCTATACGTATATGCAGTTACTAACGTCCTTCTACATTTTTTCCTCTCCTTTTTTCCCACCTGTTTCTTCCCCCTCTCCCTTCCCTTTTCCCTTCCTGCTCATCTCTTAGCCGGTCCCAGCATTGCAGTCCTCTCCGCAGCCAGTTCAGTACTCTCCAAGCTCCTGCCCCCAAGTCCTTCTGCCAGTCTCTCCACCCCAGCAGTACAACATGGTATTAAAAACCCTCTTTCTTGCTGTCTTTTTCTCGGCATGTATTTCTGCTTTGCTTACCCACTTATGTACTGTACACCCAAGCTGATCTTATCAACCGCTTTTGGGGTCCTTTTAAAGACAGTAAGGTAGAATATAAGGATTGTTCTCGTAACACAGCATTAAACTATTTGTCAACCTTACTAGGTAGACCAGACAGGAAGCATGACCGGAGGAGCTACTTCTACTTTATTGTAAAGCTACATTAACAGAATCTTGCAAGTCTGAAAGTACAGTTCACCCACCGTCACCTTTACAGCCCAAGAAACTAGGGAGGGCCCTTTCTGAGGCTCTTGCCCTGCCCACTTTCCAGCTATGGGCTGTGCTGTCTCTTATCTGATTGTTCCCTGGGCAGAGTTTCTTGGCCCAGTCTCCCAAGGTCTTTCCCACCTACCATTACACTATTGCACACTAACACCACTACCTGAAGCTTCACTTTAAGATATTTTCTGGGTATCTGTTTATAATGAGACAAGTATAACCTTATTAAATTGTTGCATGAGATCCAAATGTTTTCTCCAAAAAGGCTGCTGCTGCTGCTGCTGATTGTGGTTATTTTATCTGCCGTTATTTACTGCATTTACTGCATATCCCATCTTCTGAGAGCTCAAGGTGCCTCAGATGGGGATATCCTCCAACTTTATCTCCACAGCAATAATTTTAAGAAGTAGGTTGGATGGGAGGAGAGAGTTTACACAATGAGCTCCATGAGAACTTGAACTTTGGTATCTCAGTACCAGATAACTTAACCATTGTCTGTACCATGTTATCATAGCTGGGAAAGTAAGATGTAATTCCCAAACCAGCAGGCCCACTGTGTTTTTCTATGTTGACAGAAATGTTTTATTGATTTGTTTGTTTATTTAAATTTGTTATAGCTGCCCAACTCGGATGGACTCTGGGCATGTAGTCACCTTTTGGGTAGTGCCTGTGACATCATGGATGACAGATGAGCAGAGTCCACCGTGTCATCCTTGCCATGTTTTCATTGCATGGTTTCCCCTATCACCAAGTGGCATGCAAAGCAGGGGCTGGCAGCAAAGTTCAAATCCACCTCAAGGCCCTGTGTGCCGCTTAACCTCAAATTCACTCCACTTCACAAGGCAGGACAGGGAAGACCCAGGTTCAGTACTTCCCTCAGCCCGAGAAGCTTGCCTAGGGACTTGAGACGAGGTGTTACCTCTCCACCCTAGCTCCCTCCCGGTATTGCAAGAGTGAATGCCATGTCTGCCTCCTGCTGCTAGAGAAATGAAGGGAGCAGCTCTAAAGAACGCACAGCTGTAGATTTCTTATGTGCCAGCCTCTGTTTTAAAGAACGCAGGAATAAGTAGATGAGTGAGAACAGAAAGTTACATGTTTAGGTATTGTTCGTTTGTTTGTTTCCATCCAAGACAAGGCTCCCTTACCTCATTGTTGAACATCCTCCTCTTCTTCTAAAGCAGTGTTTCTCAACCTTGGCAGCTTGAAGATGTGTGGACTTCAACTCCCAGAATTCCCCAGCCAGCACGTTTGTTTGTCCATTGGCTGTAACATGCATTTTATGCTAGCAGTTATGAATTAACATTTGCAGGATTGCCCTGTAAAAGCTAGAAATGCTTTCACAAGTCTAACTGCAATAAATAAATACATTTATTTGTCACCCAGTGTACATTTGGAAACTGCACCCAGTCCCACCTCTCAAGGGTGTCTCTATGACGACATAAGTTCAGAAGTTTGTTTGGTGGAAAAAGCAAGATCATGCATTGAAAGGGATATAGGAAGAGACCCTGAAAAGAAAAAGGGGAATCCTTTGAACTGAGGCTTATAGGCTCTTTACAGGACGCTACTCAGTTCTGTGACTGAGTTAGATTCCCTTTTAGCACTCCTCATATCGGATCTCAATACTAAAGGTGAAGCAGTTGCCCATAATTGTGTGGAACAAAGGTAGTTTCCTAGTATTTTGCAAAAAAGCTGGCCATCTCAGCCACCAGGTGGCACTCATTTCTCTTGTCTGCCGGATGAGATTGTATAAAATGAGGGACCTTTGTTTTTCTCTTGCTTTGCTTATTAAATGGGCAGCAGTTTTTCCCTCGCTCCATTTCTAAGACAGACTCTGGATGACAGAAGCTTCGTAGTGCTAAAAGGAGTGATGGCTGGCTAATCTTGCTTCCTTCCCCCCCCCCCCCCCCCAACACCCATTTCTTTTTTTTTTTTTTTTTTTTTTTT